GGTCCTCAGTCAAAAGAAGGCAGTTCTGATTTACCCTAATTGACAGCAGCTTTCCAGGGTTTCAGACTAAAGACTTTCTTGGGGGTGTCTGTCTGAGATGCTTTTGTAATCCTCCCCCATTGTTGGACTCAAGCAATGTTTCCCTTTTTGTTCCTTAGTAACAAATCTTTCCTTTCTCCATCAAGGTCATCATCTCTACTCTCTACAAATGTTTGGGTTCCCCTGAGCATGGCAATACTTCCATTTTGTTCAAATATTGTGTCTTATCTTTCAGCTATTCAAGGAGAATAATTACTGACTTATTTTTCTTTCACTCAATATTGCCACCAGATTTCTATGAAAATCTGCACAAAGTTCCTTTGAAAATATAACTCAATCCGTCACAAATATCCAGTGCAGGTGGAAGGACCTAGTCAACACCATCTGATTTAAAAACAAAATGCTAAGCAAGATCCAATCTGGACAATTTTTGATTAATAGACCAAGGCTATAGACTAGACTGGGAAGTTGAAAAAGCTCACAGAAGATGGCAAGAGCAAACCAATTCCATACTGAGACTATGAAAACTTCATGGATGTTTTCATGTAATCATTAGGAGTTAATCTCAAATCAAGGGAGTGTTTACCTTTTTACTTCCCACACATACAGCTTCTTAGTACATTACTTTATAATCACCATACTTTTATAAACATCACCCTTTCAACTATCAAGAACACATCCCTCAAGACCCATGATGAGGAATACGACATCTCTACTCAAGTCAGTTCTCTGCAGCTGCTGATCTTCTCCCTGGAGCTTTCAGATGCCTTGTGGGTAGCAACCACCAGCTCAAGGGACTACAATTGGTGGGAGCAACAGATCAGCTAACTAACTTGATAGTATTATTTCATTGGGTTTTCTCTAAGGATGAATATCTATAACTCCAGTCCCTGAGTAATGCTCTAGGGTGATTTGTCAGTAATATGAATCTCTGTAAAGGTACAACTGTATAGACCCTTGCACACTGATGCTGGGAAACTGGAGAGATCTACCTCTTTTTTTAGTTCCAGGGCTAATAAATGCCTCTTGACTTTACAATCATGCTCATGTGACTCCTCACCCCCATTCATCAACTATAAAGAATTATAGTTCTGATAAACTAATAGGGTTTGTCACTTATCTGTAGTTGGCCTGCTGTTCATTAAATTGACTATTTTTCAGAGAGTAAGATACTGTAACTAAGAAGTATCATCCATACATAAATCTAAGGAGAAAATGTACAAAATTGGTGAAAAAAAAATTAAAAAGCTAAGGAAGAGAAATCCACACAAGTATGACTATTGTTTTATCATATCAAGACTGCAAAAATATAGACCAACAGATGCCAGCAAAGCAATACAGAAACCTCTCTTTGTTGCCACCTAGTGAACCTCTGGAAATCTGCAACCCAGATAAACATTAAAACCTGTCTGCTAATTGCAGATGAGAGGAGAAGATATCTATCTTCCAAGAGAAATTACTGGGACAAGTCTCCAGTATGCAGAGATAGCTCTCCATGTAAAGACACTATTTACTCAACTTACAGAGAGGAAAGAAGATGACCCTGATGGAGATACGCAGAACCTCCCACCCAGGCTAAAGCACTGTTTAAGTCCAGAACAAGATCACATTCAGAAGCAGCTCAGGCAGAAGCCTCCCTAATTAGCTGAACTATAAAAAGGAGGAGTAAGTAGAGCACAATCAGACTTGCAAGAATCTCTTTTACAGCCAATTTCATTAAAAGTAGGTTTAGCCTTCCGGTGGAGTTGGTTTCCTAGTCTCATTTACCTAGTGGGGTTGACATAAGCAGAGCACAATAAAAAGGAAGTGATATAAAACCTGAAGTATTGAATACCTTAAGTAAATGAAAAATATTTTTCATAATGGCTAGGTCTCAGCATCTAACCAGGACATCAGTTCTGCTACAACTGATCTTGTGAAGCTGCACTGTCCCATCTACTTGACATCTATGAATGTCAGGCAAAGCACAGACCTCCAGGTAGAACAATGGTGGACTAACACACCTCTGCTAAATGGAAGAGATGATGCTGAAGCAACTACCAGCTGACTAATTTAGAAGAGAGGTTGGAAGAAAGATTTATAAATATGGGAAAAAATGGATAAAAAATTGGAGGATGCTATAAAAAACAACTGGAGAAGTTAAACAGAATAAAGAAAAATAGAAATTTTGGATAATAAAGCAGAAATAACCAATAGGGAGATGGAAAAGGCCTTAGATAATATGGCCCCTTTAGAACTAAGAGAGAAGGAATTTTGCTTGAAATTGAGAGCAGTGTGAGAAGGATCTGGTAAAGATACTTGACAGAAAGTTGTAGAGTCACTATCCAAATTTTTGTAATGGGACAAAGAAGATGTTGAATCAGAAGTGGATAATGTGTACAGAATTAATACAAGATATGCAAAAATAAGAAAAATACCAAGGAACATAGTTGTTCACTGTCAGAAAGAAGACAAGGGACCAGATTCTCCAGCGACCTTTTAATACTAAATTAAAAATAAATAATACACATCTAATTTTGCTGAAAGAGATACCAATTAGAATTCTATGGAAGAGAAAAGAATATGCATTTTTGACAGATAAATTTAAACAGAAGGGGATACCATTCCATTGGGATAAGTTGGAAGGATTAATTTTGACATTTAATCAACAGAGGTACAGGTTGAATTCTGTACAAAAGGCAAGAGATTTCTATAAGAGGTTTAAAGAAAGCACAGTTGGAACAAGATGAAGAGTTGCTACAACAGCAGGAGGAGGAGGAGGAGGAGGAGGAATATTGAGGAAGAGACAATATTAGGCACTACAGGCATAGACTTTTCAACATTTACAACATAGATATGGATCTTTGTGCCCAATGGGGCTAATGCCCCCCAAAAGAGAAAAAAGGTTATTTCATTATTTGAAAAAATTAAAACAAGATGCAATTTGTCTACAGGAAACATATATAAGAAAAAAAAGATTAAAAAAATACTTCATTTACAAAAAATTGGAATAAGAATTTATATCTGCAGGGATGACCAAGAAAACAATGGAAGAATAATGAAATGCCACAGTGGAGGAATGGATTGTGAAATTTGTCGGAATTTTTTGAGATTGCAAAGCTGACCTGTTTGGTCAGAGAAAAAACAACAAAAACTTTTCTGAAAGACTGGAAACTTTATATGGACTTTTTGCTGAAAGAAGAAAAAAAAATAATGATGATTTATGTTCTGAAGATTAAAAAAGATGTCGATTAAGTGAGCTGAAGGAATCTATATAACACCTAAAAGAGAGGAGGGATTATAAGGTTTTAATTATCTGTTGAAGAAAAGGTCAAAAGTCATTATATTTCATAACTATTTTTTTCTTTCTTTCTTTCCTTTCTTTTTCTTTAGATCTGTCTTTTATCTTATATAAAATTCTTAATAAACATATATAAATTTTTAAAAAGAATGTCAGGCAAAGCACCAAGATACTGAGTACATACTGAGAATATTAAACCAAGAGTACTTTATGGAATGCTCAATCAAAGAATTGCCCAGGTGAAGTCAAAGTTATAAGTTAGGGTATAGGTTGTATGTGTGTGCTTTAAGAAATGTTTAAATTCTTAATACAACTTACAATCAACAGGCAGATTAACTAAAGGAAACCTCCATGGAAAGAGACAACACAACTTTGATACAACATGCAAACCATAAGCAGTAACATATTGCCACCAACACACGTGTAGATTTATTTATCAGGATGCAACAGAAAAAGAACACAGAAGTTATAGGGACCTTGTTCTGATCCAAGAAAACAAACCCCAATAATTAATAATTACTGTTCCAGATGCTTCAGCTGCAAACCTAACACAATTTTTAGCAGGGTGCAACTCCAATACAGATGTGCCTTAGGGAAAGCATTACACTACAATCAAAAACCACAGAGTAGATCTTTCAAAGCCTTCTTTCTCAGGCGGTTTATTGTTACAACAAGGCTTTGTACACTAATATGAGTCATACAGTAAAAGATGTAAAAATGGTTCGTTATGACTATGAAATCCCCAAACCACTGAAAAAGCTCAAGTTACCAACAAAAAGCACTGCAGGATGAGAAAAGATAGTCACAAGGGCAAGCTCTCCAAAAATGACTAAGCCTCCTTTGAGGTGCCAGAATGGAGGTTATGCCACAGGTCTCAAACTTTCAGACAGTGAGGGCCTGTAAATGTTTGTGTCATCCTCCTACCTCAAAGGGAGATAAACTGGAATATTTAAGAGGATGCCTACCTGCAAGTAAGCCAACATTTTCCCCATGGAAAAAACATGGTGGGTATACATCCTGAATTAGTTAGATATGTTTGGTGGAAATCCTTCTTCCCCAACTCATACCCCCTTTTTTTCTCTTGGACTGTGGCTTATCCTAAAGTCTTTTGGAGTACTGCCTGGAAGCATAAGATGCATTCACAGTCAGAGTTATAAAACTCCCATTTTTTAAATGATCAGGCAATCTTAGAAGCACACACACAAAATCACACTGTTCCATCTGTTCTGGAAGAATCCTGCTACGTTTTGGCTGTTCTCTTATAAGTCTGCAGCATCTCTCTGTTAATGGTGTGATATGCAATCTTAATCTTCAAGTTCAGAAGAGAGCCCCAGAGAAGTAAGCATGCATAGCACAGGATTGAAACCCAAGCCCTAAAATTAGTTAATTATGGATTAACACACAGGAAACAAAGAGGGTGGCGTTTGCTTTTGGCAAGAGATTAGACCTGTGTTTCTGAACCTTGGCAACTTTAAGAGGTCTGGACTTCAACTCCCAGAATTCCCCAGCCAGCAATGCTGGCTGGGGAATTCTGAGACTTGAAGTCCAGACTTCTTAAAGTTGGTAAATTGAAAAACACTGGGTTAGACTGTTTTCCAGATTTATTTCAGGTCTTGTAAAGCTTAACGGTTTCAAAAACTGTTACTGAAAATAACGAAGTGACTGGAAAAATATGACTCACAGCATTCAATGGGGTTGGAAGCAATTTGCAAAGAAACTATCCGGCCACTGGATTCAGGGATGTGCACACGGAACACCAATCGCACACGAGTGTTCTTTCGGCCAATATCCGTTTCTCCTTTCCGTAATTCAATGTCTGCATTTCTCAGCTTGAGAATTCCTGCGCAGTCAATGCTATGGAGCAAACAAATACTTGAATAATCTTTTGCAAGGTAAACACTCCCCCCCCACTCCTGAAATTAATGTATGTTTTTTTGTCTCTCTGATTATGACTATAGATTTAATGGTCCAGGTATGCCTAGCTTCTTTCTACATAGTCTCACCAAGGGGTGGGTAGATTCTCTGTCTTCCCTTAGAGTAAATGGATCACTGTATCTCTGCAACAGTATGTGTTCCCATTTATCTCTGTCAGCTTACAACCCTGTGAATCAAACAGTGGTTCCAAAGCAGGAAGTGCGAGTAATTCCAGCGGGATTATTCATGAAATACTTTATATACTCCTAATCTGGAAATCACTGATACCAAAGGACCAGTGCAATAGTGCTGGCTGATAAAAACATTCCTAAATCTGCAACCCTTCATTATTCTAGGGCAGTGTTGTCCAAACTTGGCCACTTTAAGATGAGTGGACTTCAACATGCTGGCTGGGGAATTCTGGGAGTTGAAGTCCACTCATCCTAAAGTGGCCAAGTTTGAACAACACTGTTCTAGGGAATATTTTGTAGTGAGCTCTCAGTCTTAAGCAGCTGACAATGTCTTTCCTATCAAGTATCATGCCTGGAACTGGGGTCTTGATATTCTCTGAGCTTAGTTTTCTTCCTGTAGACATTTTGTTTCTAGACCATCAAGAACCAACAGTTCAACCCTGAGCTACATACATTCTACATGTGCAACAATGACTTGGGCAAGTGGGATTACTGGTCTAGCCATACTGTTGCATCCATCCATCCATCCATCCATCCATCCATCCATCCATCCATCCATCCATCCAAAGGTGAATGCTCATAGAGATTAGAGTATCTGATGGTCACCTCAGTTCAAAACCTAAGAAGAGAAGTCAGTTCAAATGTTAATTTCAAATTTTGGGAGGAGGCTGATTTATTGAAAGGCCCTGTTCTTCCAAGGACTGGCAAATCAGAAAGTCCTCTTGGTGCAGAAATCAGAGCATCTAATGATCAAGGGTTTGCACTAAAAAGACTCTAAAGTTACAGGCCTTGAGAAGTAGGAGCTTCCAGGAAAATCAACAGCTGTGATTTCAATAAAAAATGGTGCAGGAGTCATTGTCTATTCTGCTAACAAGATCTCCAGCAGAAAAACGTCTTTCCCCTATTGTGCAACCTCGGTAAGGGACTGAAAAGGACACGCTGCATTCTGTATTCTATCACTGAACTATGTGCCATGGTCAAGTCACACTGTGAAGCAAAGTGGGTTTACACTTGAGAGTTTTCTCTACAAATTAATACAGGCATCTTTTACATTAAGATTTTAAGTTTTCCTCTCTCGCTATCTTACAACATTTTCTAGTATAAAACCCTTACGTTGCTTTCATGTTGTTTTTTGGCTCCAGAGGGATTTCCAACACTTTGGTGTTGCCAATGATTTTCTCAAAGCTCGTGGTAGTGACTGTTTTCCCCGTGATACGATGGACTTGGTAAAAAGCATGTGGTTTAAGAATCCGCTCATCTGCTGTTCCAATGAAGATCTGAAGGCCCAAGGGCTTGTGGTCCATGTAGCCATGAAGCTGGCAAGAGAACAAACCATTCACACCATTATCTCAACAACAAACAGAGCAACAAATTGAAATATTTTAGCATTGTCAGATAAACAACATGAAATGCTTATAAATAGTTGCTCATCTTATCCCCTGTGGTAAGTGAGGATCACCTCAAGATAACCAGACAGGAAACTTTAATAACTAAAAGACAGATGGTTCTTTTCCTATCCTTCAGGCTAGAATAGTTATGCATACAAAGAACATGGATAAATTGACTAGTGAAGAATAATGAGCAATAATATTATTATCTCTTGTGGCTTTATTTTGCAAGGCTGAAATATGACTATTCCCCGTGAAATAGCCGATTAATTTCCAAAAATGTGATATTCGATAGTTCTAATAGGAGTACAGTATGCTGCTTTGAAGTTTCTAACTTTATGTTACTCAGTAAAATGTTTGCTCTTATTCTAAGCATCTTCACATTCTTCATAATCGGAATGTAACCCATTGAACTATACAGAACCATCAACCATTTTTAAAATATCAATCAAATAAAAATTTGTCTGTCTAGATTCCACATGCTCAAAGGAGACTAAGTAATACCTCTACACTAAATGTGTGTATGTTTATGTGTGTGTGTGTGTGTGTGTGTGAGAGAGAGAGAGAGAGAGAGATGGGGGCAGTCGTAGTATCAAAGTGGGAAGGAAAGTAGTTGTAACTTCTCTTATGAGAAAAAAAAAAACCACATGTACACAGAATTATTAAGGCTATTAAACATAACAGTCTAAGCATTGGTGAAAGTGAAAGTATCAGTGAAAATTGAGAGAGAGAGAGAAAAGCTAGGACTACAATACTTAGTTAATTGATACAATTCGTTAATCAAAGGCTTCCTTTTGCTCATCTTAAAAGGAACCAAAATCAGTCAGCCTATAGTCATCACAGATCTTGATGAGCATTCCCAGTCTTAATTATGGGTTCTTTGTCACAACCACATTATTAAGTATTCCAGTACTCAAGTCAACAGAAAACCAACCAACCAACCAACCTACATTTTTAAACCACCTAGTAGCTGAAGCTCTCTGAGCAGTTTACAATAAACACACTAAAATACAATTTGAATAAAAACATATACAATAAAATGCAAAATAAAAACCATATAAACTAGGCAGTTATTCAAAAACTAAAACAATATGAATTCAAATGTATTTAAGATACAAGAAAAGCCAGGTAAGAAGACTGGGAAAATAGGAAGGTGGCCACCTGGAATCAAAATGATGCTAATATGGAGGCCAGTCAAGCCTCTCTGGGGAGGGAATTCCATAAACGGGTGCCACCACACCACCACAGAAAAAGTTCTTCCTCTTGTAGAGCTTTCTTTGGTAAGGGGACCCGGAGGGTGGGCTTCATTAGATGATCTTAAGGTCTGGGTAGGTTCATATAGGAGAAGGTGCTTCTTCAGGTCATCTGGTCCTAAGTTGTTTAGGTTAAAGGTCAAAAGCAGCACTACGGATGGGGTCTGGAAACAGCCTGGCAGCCAGGGTAGATGATAAAGAACTGGCATAATACGTGTGCATCGGCCAGCCCCAGTGGACTGAACTATTCTGAACTAATGGAAGTTTCTGACCATTTTCAAAGGCAGCACTATGAATAATGCATTGCAGTAATTCAACTGGGAAGTTACCAGAGCATGAAAAACAGTTGTGAGGCTGTCTTTGTCCAGGTATGGTCGCAGTTGGTAATCAGCTGAAGCTGATAAAGGGCACTCTATGCCACTAAGGCTACCTGGGCCTCTACTGACAATGATGGAACTGGGAGCACCCCCCAACATGTGACCCTGTTCCTTTAGGGCAAGTGCAGATCCCTCCATGACTGACAGGCATCACTCAGCTAGACAGATGCAGCACCCATAAACACCATCTCTGTCTCGTTTGACTGAGTCTCAGTTTATTAGGTCTCATCCAGTTCACTTCCCTGCTCAAGCACTAGTTCAGAATGCCAACCACCTCAACCATGTTAGATGAAAAGGGGAAGTAGAGCTGGCTGTCATCCACATATTAATGGCATCTCAGCCCACATCCTCAGATGACCTCTTTCAGCAATTTCATGTAGATGTTAAAAAGTAGGGGACTCCTGCGGGACACCAAGACCTAACCCAACTCAACCACCATGGGGATGAAGAGTAATCCCCAAGCACCATGTTCTGGAAATGGCCATCTTCTGAGTAGAACCATCATAATACAATGCCTCCACATCCAAACACTGACAGCTTGTCCACAAGGATACCATGGTTGCTCCAATCTGCATCCATAATAAGGCCTTCAAGTCATCTCATCCTTACACCTTTACCTTGGGACAATTTAACAGTAGCAATTGGTAGGGTCTCCTGGCTTTGTTTTCCCTCTCATCCAACAACACCAACTGATGAGAAAAACTACTACCAATTGTTGATGACATAGGAATGGCCTTGAAGGACAGAAGGAAGAGCCGTTACCAAGACAACAGTCAGATAAGAGGAGCTTGAGCCCAGACCAAGAAAATAATTTGAGAAAACATCTCAGACAGGCCCCTCCCTACTTCACACAAAGATAAAGTGAAGAAAGGGAAGCACATTTTGACTTGCAAGCTTCTGCTACCATAGTTGTTACAATAAAAATAGTCCTGACCTATATGGCATTGGTTTCTTAGTCTGGTCTACCCTGTTGGGTTGACACCAATCATGGGCTTGGGCAAGTGTGGCTAGAGGCTTGGGACAGAGGTTGTAAGAACTTTTCAAGTTGCCCATTTGATAAGTTGCCAGTGTAGAGTGTTTCACACCGGTTACCCATTGTTGAGCTATTTGTGAAAATGGATCTACAGGCCTAGTTTAAAAGACAGCCTGGCTAACAGGGGGTGAGGTGGATGAGGGTATGGGGTGAAGTTCACATGGCACATTGAGACAGTTCCTTTCCACTTCAACCTGGGCCCACAGACTTGTCAGCCAGGCTATTTGTTGATACAGATCAGTCTTTCTATCACTAAGGCTAGAAGGAAAACTGGCAGAACTTTTATTTCAGCTTTGCTACCAAATGTCTCAGGTCCATGAGTGCTACAAATGGCCGTGGCCAACAGAACCCAGAATTATCCAGTAGCGTATACAAAATAGTCCTGTCTCCCCTTCCCACAAGCAATAAGACCAGTAAAAAGCATGGACATGTGAAACTCCTTGTCAGCAGATGTAACACTATCATGACTTAATTTTGGACAGAACAAATAACTTACAGCTGATAGGACCCACCCCTCTTTCCTTTACAGAGTGCTAGTCCTGTTTATTTAAACAAAGGTCTACCACTCTTTCAAGTGATTGTTAACATGTGTTAACAGTCTTCCAGGATAATGTTACACCAGTGTTTCTCAAACCTGGCAACTTTAAGATGTATGGACTTCAACTCCCAGAATTCTCCAGGCAGCATGGCTGGCTGGGGAATTCTGGGAGTTGAAGTCTACACATCTTAAAGTTGTCAAGTTTGAGAAACACTGAATTAGACTAATGTATATAAAGATCCTGCATAAGGCCCCTACGAAAGCCAGATTCCCTGTCTCCCCTGCAGCCCAAGCAATGGGCACAGAAGGCACTGTCCAGTGAACAGAGAGGAGGGGACAGCATTGGGAAATGACCAGTAAGAACAGGTAGATCCCAGCACCAGACTGCATCATCACCCGCGCCATCAGTGAGGCATCACAAAATGTGCAAATGGCAAGACTGGAGGCCAGAGGAAAGGAAAAACACTTTAAATCTGAACTGCTGAAGTCACGTAAGCTGCCTCCACAGTGGGCTGGGGATGAGATAAAAGTTGCATCTGAGAACATATTCTCTAAAAATGGCGAGTAGGGCCAGTATTGACAAGCTGTAAGAATGAAAATATTCTCATGAAATCACCGCACAAAGTCATTTTGGAAAGAGTCACTACATGAAGCAGAAACTGAACTCTCATAAACGAATGCTGGGTTGTCATCTGAAGAACTGAATCTCTCTTGAGTGACTTTCTGAGGACAATGGCTGCTCCTTCTTCCTCTCTGGCAAAACAACAACAACAACAAAACACTTCCAAGGCAGGATGTCTACAATCTTCCTTATAACATGCAAGGAAGAACTTCAAAGCTAACTCTGAAGGCTTAGTTTCAATAGGTAAGGCATCAAATGAATGCTTAGCCAAAGTTTTTGGTAGTTTACATTTCCAGCTTACAGAGCATTTCCTGCTTTTCAATAGCTGGAAATAATCTAGCAGTAGAAAAAATAATCTGCAATCATGATTAGATCAAATCCAAGGAAGTGTGTGTGTGTGTGTGTGTGTGTGTAATTATGCATATCTGTGTACTGTATGTAAATACAACACACGCACATACACACACACCATATTGCACATGTGTATCCAGAGAAAAAGAGAAGAAATGTTTATATTTTTCATGAAGACCAACCTGTAAGTAAATGAAGTTTGTTCATAGAAAAAGTAGTTGAAGCTTATAATGCAAGGAAATGGGGTTGCAGTAAAAAGGAGTTAAAGACAGCATTACAGTTGCAAAACCTAGTCACAAATTGAGCCCCAAAACACCCCATTCAATCATAGTTTTTTTGTTTTGTTTGTTTTTCCCTTCCAGAGAATTCAAAAACAGATTTGGAGTGGAGATGGATATGTGAAGCATCCAACAGTCCACATTTCAAAATTTAGGTAATGTATTCGATTTAATGATTCCAAGTTCTGGAGGTTCAGCAAAGGACATACTGATCACTTTGTGAGAAAGGCTCGATTCAAAAGGTCCCTACGAATCATACATACACACAAATGCAACTCCATACCAAAGGTTGACGCATGAAACCTAAAACACTTTCAAGCATTGTGATGTTCTATTACTTCACATAAATAGCTGTGGAACATGTTGTCCAACAATAGTATGCAACACCTCTGGCTAACTGTTTGGATCTCAGTGCTCAGTGAAGTCTATCCTGACATCTGTGCCAGGCTCCAAAGTGATTCCCCAGCCCCGCACCC